GACTCACCAAATAAAAAATAAAAATTGTACATTATGTATTCAGAGACGTGTCAGCCCCCTTTTGCGTTTTTCTAATGAATAAGCGACTGTTTAAATAAGGTTTTATTCTGATATCTTTTTTAACACAAATTTTGCACCATCGGCTTTGTCTCCGAGTAAAACATTCTATATCCATTGTGTTAGATTAGGCTTTTAATTTAGCTTTTTCATAGGAGAACAAACTTGTGAAAGAGTGGGTGATCTCCAACGTTTTATTAAAGTATAGAAAGACCATTAAGAACATAGGTCGACTATAATTATCATATTTCTTTCACTCCTCAGTTGTGCGCTAAAGATATATTTGCAGGGTTTTTTTTACTCAACCCCTTCGGTAATTCACAACCATGGAGTGCATAACAGGTACCTGGGTCACAGAGCCAAAGGCAGACAATGTTGATGAGTTCTTCAAAGCTGCCGGTGAGTTGATTATTTCTGCCGTATTTTCTCCGAGCATTGCTTGTGCACTCGTCTGTCTGTCTGTCTGTCTGTCTGTCTGTCTGTCTGTCTGTCTGTCTGTCTGTCTGTAATGTGATCAAAAATTCGTTGCGCAACTTTTCTTGAAATATTTCTTTGATGGGTGAATCAGGGCCACCCATACTTTGCACAGAAGTTTGTATCAATGTGTCTAACTTAATTATATTTTTCCACAACAATTTAGGCTAGATTAAAAAACTTTTCTTCATAAATTTATACAAAATACTATACATCTCCGTCACGTGGAAAATGCTGTTGTTCACCGCTCCTTCCGGTTCTCACACACATTTTGTATGGCCTACGTCACAGCTCACCAATGACACTTTTTAGTGGCAAAACTTGAGCAACAGTCCGAGACTTTGTGTTCAATGATTGAGGAAATATTAATTTGACAATAAGTTGCGCCACGAATTTTTGACCGCACTATCTATCTATCTATCTATCTATCTATCTATCTATCTATCTATCTATCTATCTATCTATCTATCTATCTATCTATCTATCTATCTATCTATCTATCTATCTATCTATCTATTATTGTTATTGTTATTATTATTATTATTATTATTATTATTATTATTATTGTTGTTGTTTTTATTGCTATTATTGTTGTTGTTGTTATTATTATTATTATTATTATTATTATATTATTATTATTATTATTATTATTATTATTATTATTATTATTATTATTATTATTATTATCACCATCATCATTATTATCATCATCATAATTATTGTTGTTGTTGTTGTTATATCAATACATATGTTTTCTTTTCACTGACTTCAGGAGTACACGACGAGATGATCGAAACGATCAAGAAGCGGGACTACGAGGTGACCTTTTCCATCGAAGGCAATGACGTCACGTGCGTTGCAAGGGTAACCAACGACCCCGATGCGCAGCCTAAGACGTTCACACTGACGATGGGACAGGAAGCGGAAGTCGAGACTCTTGAGGGCATGAAGGTCAAGGTAATTGCCCTGAAACATCCAAGATTTTTCTTTTAAAGATAGTTGGTCAGGCCTTGTTTTTTGGTATTTTGGGTTTCTTTCAACCTTCGTTTCAATTTTGTTTGGAATGTTAAACGTACTTTTTTATGGTGACGATGACGAGGAGAGTGATGATGGTGATGATGATGATGATGCATAGCATCATATGTATATTGTAATTTAAAGCTTTTATTGCTCATGTACTCTTAATTGTGATTTTGTGTTTGTGTGTGTGTGTGTGTGTGTGAGTGTGTGTGTGTGTCTGTGTGTGTGTGTGTGTGTGTGTGTGTGTGTGTGTGTGTGTGTGTGTGTGTGCTTTAAACTGATGTTACCGAAGAAGTAAAGCAGACGAAATCTAGAATCTAATTTTTTAAACTAGCATAAAATTCCGAAACACAGAATCCAAGTTTTGGTAAGCCAAAAGGCATGGTGTTCGACATTTTCGTAAATGCTACACATTTCTTACCCAAAATATCCAGGGGTCAGTTTCTTTTTTAAAACTACTTTGGAACGATGATGATGATGATGATGATGATGATGATGATGATGATGATGATGATGATGATGATGATATTGGACTTTGGGTTTATTCTTAGAACCGTCCAAAATGAAATAAAAACAAGAAAACATACCACCCGTGTATCCTTTGTAACAACATCACAATATTCATTCTATCCCCCGCCCCCCCCCCCCCCCCCCCCAGTACACAATGACGTGGGACGGCAGTAAGTACGTGGAGAAGTGCATCACGGGAAACATGACGATTAACAGCATAAGGGAAGTAAACGGGAGTACGATGACCCTGGTAAGTAATCTCCCTTTGATCATAAATTTGTTTCTTTGTTCGTGTGTCAGGGTTTTACATCCATTTCAATACAGTTAGGTCCTTTAAGAGGCTGGGCTTCCAAATGTAACGTCCACTTCTGATAGTAGCGAGCCAAACGGGTTGTGTTCTTGAAAAGTCCGCAAAACCACTAGAGTTCAATCTATGTAA